CCTATGTAAAGGGTGTGTGTTCAAAATATACCAAGCTAGTGCTTGGGGACATTGCGGTACTACTTAAATAGGTACGGGAAGTGAACATGGGAGCATTGGGGAATCTGGTATGTGTATGTGAGGTAACTGATCAAGATTAGGGCTAAATGGGGTTTGTTGCAGTGGAAGGGTCTATGGATGGTGTACCATGGGAACTCGGGGTGTATTGTCGAGGCTGGGTCGAGGCGGGGAAGCTTATGGAGGACCCGGGAGGTCCTGCTAAAACGATGGGGGGGAGGTTCTTATGACAGGGGAGGTTCTTTGGGGTCAGTTAGGGGTATGGTAGGTCCGGTCAGGGCATGACAGTCTTGATGAAAGCTTGGAATAATGAATAAATAAAATGTAGGTCACAAGGTTATTAATCCGAAGTCTGGCCACTCCGGGCCGGGCCAGGAAGCGTATGGGGTGAATTGCATGCATATGACAGGTGCGAGGAATGGGAGCACAAGTGTTAGCACAGACAAAGTGTTGAAGATGCTTTGGAGCACCTACGGGGGAGTGGAAACAGTGAGTAAAGTGGATATGACATTGAATTTGATAAACTGACGAAGTGACCATCCACCTCAATGTGAAAGTGCAATACAAGACAGGAGTAGGAAGAGATGTCCACATGGACTGGAACATGCAGGTTTATTTGTGCAAAGGGCAACATATGGAAAGGGAATGTGATTTTTTGACAACATATATGCAATGGTTGTTGAACATAGGAGTAATGTTAAGCATAATCATAGTGGAGTGTGACAGAGGAGGAACACGTCGGAGGGTGGTTGTAATTAACAGGGCATAATACTGGCTGTCACAAAGTACGTAACCCCTATCATTTTCCTTTTTTCACCGTCTCGATGCCTTTACTTGTATGATACTTCATCTCATCATCATTTCAATTACATCACTGTCAAATCCCATCAATTACTGATCCACCTGACCCCCTTCCTTGATTACTGATCCACCTATTTACCCTTCTCCTTCTACCAGCTTCTGCCACCTTCTGTCGCGACAAGGCAGGAAGCGGGAGGCGGGAAGTCAGAGTACGCCGAAGAGCAACAACAAGGAGGCACAGAGACAAGCACAAAGCACTGATAAAAGGAATAGTGATCTCGAACAATAGTGGGATAGCGTCAGAGGCCAATCACACCAATAATCAAAAGGGAATCTAGTTGCCCAATGACCAAGAGGTTGAGATGGGGAACTAGGATCTACCTACTGCTCTTTATATACTACTTCTGTCTAATGAGTCAGCAATTGTAAATAACGATGCGATATGGAACAAGAGTGAGGAATCAATATATACGAGTAATAATGAGTCAATAATGAATCATAACGAGCTAATCAATGAATAAGGACGAGTTGTATGGAAGCATATGGAAACAAATAGAAGTATTAGTATGGTCATGTGAACAAGTATAATGAACATGTGAAAAGAGACAAACAAGTACAATAAACATGTGAAAAGAGATTGATGGGAACACACCGCTGATGGCGCATCAAAGGGCGCATCATGAGACTTCATGACACCTTCCTTATCCTTGAACTGTACAGTATTACATTGTTATTTCTTGCAGATTGGACTATGTATATAAAGCCAGCCCCTCACAGCCTGGTTCCTTATCTTGACCTCTGTCAAGCCCATGCCTTGGGCCTCCACTTCGCCGCTCGGTACTCCGAAGATCCACCGGTTATTGTAATCTCTTCCTTATTGTTCTTTCTCGCTACACATACCCTTTCATTCTAGTCTCTCCTTATTGTCTTTTACTTTACCCTGCAGGTACTACACGTATAGCTCCTAGTAGTTAGTCTGGCGCTCTGCACTGATACGCCGCTCCGTAGATATAAATACTGCCTGTACGCTACTGTAGTTCCTCAGTTTAATTATCAACTTAGATCTCCCTTCCCAACTTAGCTCTTCTCTAAGTCTTCAGGCTCAACACCTTGAAGTACGTTCTACTCTACTTTAGGAATTAGACATTCTTTGGTTCGCTCCTCGTCACCGGCGATACCGCCGCTCCGACTTGGCTGCTACTAAGCCCCTCCCTTCTATACTCTCGACCTCCGGGGACTAACGGCATAACGGCCGTGTTGTTAATAACTTCACTACTGTCCCACTCGTCTTCCGCACTTAGACACTCTGTGACCTCTGGCACGGTTACACGGTGTACATGATCTTAACAGCTTATGTTTATGTTATCATGGAGCATAACTTGGACAACAGGAAGTGCAGCGGTTAGTGTACATATGTTTGGTATAGCTTGTTACAAAGAGTGGTGCCAAACAAGGCCAAAATGTGCCTGCGCAAAACAACTTAACTTCCGGAGTGCAATAGACCTTGCAAGCAAGGTGATTAACATGAAATGGCTAAAGCATAAGATTGTCCACTTATCTTGTTGTTTATGATGAACTTCTGCAAATAAATTTCCTTTTATGGGAATTTTATTCCATAAGTTCTACATACTACTTTCCATAAGTCACAAATCTTATCTTATCAGAAATTTACATCAATTTTCCAAAAGTCTTCAGTAAGTGGCAGCAACTTATGGAGATTTGCACCCTGTGTTATTCTTATTCCTCCACAAACAACAGAACTACCTCAGCCACAGCATCAACGCCCCCGCCGGATGATGGCAGAAGAACAAAGATGTGCACTGGTACTCCAGGGACTGTAAGCCCTGGGTCAGAATTGGTCTTAGGGTAGGTTTTGGTATAAGGGATTTATGTTGTAGCATGCTAGGAGCAAGCTGGAGCTCGAAGGGAGCTATGGGAACCGCGACCGAGGACAGGAACGACCTAAGAGTAGTCCAGATTGAAGGGTTGACCTTTGAAGAGGTTCTTAACCTCCCAGGACGTTAACGGGGGCTAATAGGTTACTAGGAGCTAGGAAGCATCGGATGGTTATGTAGTACGAGCTGTAGTAGATAGGATTGACAGCACAGGATTGTTATAGACCGTAGCTGAAGTGAGTTCCGAATGTGAGAGCTCCTGATGGAGTGTAAGCCCGGGAGGGAGGTCCCGGGAAGTGGAGGTAGAGACAGACGTCCTCAAGTGTTGGAGGGAGTAACGGAGAAGCAGTACATAGTTTGACGTAGGGGATAGCTTCGACGTTACCTAGATCAAGGTCCCTGGGCTTGTGGAGCACTTGGGGAGCTTGAGGAGGTTTGGGGGAGGTTGGCTCACCAAAACGATATATGTTGGGGAGCTTTAGTATTGGTCAAGGGAGCTCAAAGACTCACTCGGATTGCTTAGACGTGAAGTAAAAGCATGTATTGGATCGTTCAGATGACCATAGAGACGAAGATAGAGGTAGAGAAACAGAGATAAGGAAACAGAGCGTAAAGGGAATGTTAGGGAATACTCTGTACATACTACACCCATGGGAACCAGCTTTGACACTACCTAATCTATAACGGCGTTATTACCTTAAACTATACAGTACATAGTAGATCACATGCATCGTCGAGTCCGAACACCTCAGTTGTATTACTTCCAACTGAGGTGAGCCCGAGTAAACCATACATATACATCAGACACTGACTAGAGTAGATTTAACATACTTAACAGGTGCCGAATATAGTTGTATTACTTCCAACTGAGATTTAACATACTTAACAGAGAAATCCATATGGTTAGCAGGTACAAAGGGACAGGGACTGGACCTATGTAAAGGGTGTGTGTTCAAAATATACCAAGCTGCAGCTTGGGGACGTTGTGATACTACTTAAATAGGTGCGGGAAGTAAACAAGGGGACATCCAGGAATCTGGGGAACATGAGGCAGGTAATTGAGATAAGTACTTAATGAATTGGGGTTAGGAAGGTTCTATATGCGTGTTGGGGGAGCCATCAGTTTGGTTAATTTGGAAGGGTTTTATGGAAAGGTAGGGCAGAGAAATGGTGGGAGGTGTTGCAGAGTAATTGGAGGTTTAGGGGTCAGATAGAAAGCAAGGCAGGGTGGATCCAGGGCGCTATGGCTTACGGGTCAAAGCATGACAGGGACCTCGAAGATTCCAAAGCCAAACAACTAGTGGAAATCAGAAAAATGAAAGAAGCGGAAGCGGATGCATTGGCTGTAGCTTTGTATGTTGTTTTCCTTTTCCTCTCCATCCCCTCCTTGTTTATCCTTATACTTATCGCTACGCTCACTAACCCCTTCCCCACAGAGGATTCACCCCGGAACCCCGCTCCTCGAAACCCAACGCCGGACCTGGACCCATGTCCACCCTTTCCCCAGGAGATGGAGATAAACCCCCACCACCCACTGACCCACAATGTGTCATTGAAAAAGAAGAAAAACGCCGAAGAAAGGAAGAGAAACACGCGAGGAAAGAGGAAAGGTGGGTTCAGAAGGAGCTGAGGAAGGAGAGTAAGAGTGACCAGGAACCTCGGCGACATAGAGGTGAGAAAGGTGATGAAAGAGGATTGTACGACAGAGGTCGTCGTTACGGAGACCACCAACACCACCACTATGACAAACACAGCCATTGACGCCGTATCCTACCCTCAGAATGCTGTCCAAGTCCCAGTCCAACTCGACTTGGATCCAGGAGGAGACCAGAACGAAATAAAGCAAGAACAAGAGACAGCGACAGCCGTAGTCAATCCCCGTCTCCTAGATTTAGTTTGAGGTTACCTCCTAGAGCTCCCTCTCCTGAAACGGATTCCAGATATCCTCCTCGTTCAGATTCTTGGACCTGTCGTCGATCCCCATCCCAGTTATTGTTGCGGTCTCGATCCAGAATGCCGCCGATGAGTGCAAGTGTGAATGTGAGGGAAAGGGGGGAACACGATAGACAATGCTGAGGCCTAGAGAAATAATACTAGTACAACGCGGGTTGGTTATGTATACATTGATAATGCATAACAATTATTCAAGAACAACGACATGTACATATGTACTCCAAGTTTTGAATACAAACCAATCTAGCTATCAAATAAAAACAAATAAAAACTTCACTGATTTCAATCCATGCATGCATTAAGAGGGAATCGAACCCCCGGCGGGTCGAGATGTGGCCTTCAACACTCTGAGATCATGGCAACGACCCAGGTTACCACTACCCCATTAATGCTTGTGAGTTCAAGTCCAAGCGGCGTTGTATAGATATGTACACCCGCAAATGATCTTGGACTGTCAAAATCATATTTATATTGTATATACCACCCCACGGAGCTCATAAGTCAGCTCAAGCAACGGCGTTTCCCCCTTATACACATGCCCCAACACTTCAGTCGGATACCTCAACCCCTGAGTCCCCCCAATATTATGTATATCCCGTTCATACCCAACCCAACACCCATCCCCCTGCTCCTCACACCCCACCCCACTCCCCCAAAACGAGAAAGCATGCAGATTGAAAACCAAATGATCATCATATCGGTTCGCATACGCTTACCTCAAACTTTCTCGACACGCCGTTTGATTCTCGCCATTTTTTCAGGATGGTTTTGATCTCTGTTCGGAGTTTGGGGACTGGGGTCCCGGTTCCGCGTACTGGCGCGGGATTGTGGAAGGAGATGGTGATTTTGTCTTTTGGTGGTGATCGGGTTTCTAGGGTTGTGCCACCAGATGTCTGCCCATTTTTTTTTGTTTGGTGAGAACTCTCTTTGGGTTGATTCATTGCGAGCGAAATTCACACTCACATGAACGACGACGGGCACGGCATGGACCGCAGAAACAACCAAACCAAGGAAAACGTAGATGATGGGTTGTACAGATAACTTCATGGAGATGATCGTCGGGTATGGGTGACTGGCCAGCAGTTCCGTATTACACCAAAAGAACTTGATAGAAAGGAAGAAAGAAAGAAAAAAGGAAAAAAAAAAAAAGGAAAGGCAGTGATAAGCGCTATATAGCGTGTTTGGCGATCTGATTGTCAGTATCTGTGGCGTAGAATGACACCGCCAGGCTGTAAATGATTAATCACTAGGATATTGTGGGGACTGAGTGCGTTTTTTTCTTCTAGCATTTTGCCATTGCCCATGACGCAGCACTTTATAGATCAACAACCATTGCTGGAGCCACTAAGCGTAGCTTTCTCCCAAAAGTGTACCAAGTCTCTTGATATCCGTTTCGACAATTCGCGTATAATCACAGGCAGGATTGTCAAAAACGCTTCCGTCTCTCCTATTTGAACGTATTCAGAAAACTTTGATTGTGCACTATGGATGAAGCTGTGGTTTACTTCTCTCATTCAGGGGTATCGAGAGAGTACGATCGGTGGCTTATTCAAGATGTGATTCTAGGTTCCAACTATGCTCTTCGCCGGTATAATGTCCAGGAACCTCAGTATTCGAGACGTGTGTATCGATACGCGTTCGGCGCCGATACTGACTAGTCGACGCAGATCCACGTTCATTGTTCTTTTTTTCTTCTTTTCTTTTATTGTAGTTCACGTTGTTTGTTCGTTTCTTTCCCCGGGGGCTTATATTCAGCAGTTCCAGCTATTCTCTGTGCGTGTTTTGATTTTTGATTCCGTCGTAGGATAATAGATTTAGATAGCTATAGGGATTCGAAAAGATATATAGCGACTAGAGCCTGAGGAGAAGCGAAAAAAAAAAAAAAGATAATATATATAAACACGTGCACCGAAGGTTTTCTGTAAAAACCCCACAACCTCAAGACAATGTTCGAACCAATCCGCGGAGGCACCCGAGGCGGACAAGGAGATTTTAAATGGACGGATGTATCTGCGGATAAAGATAGAGAGGTGATTTAATTTCCTGTGCTTGTTCCTTGTCTTTTCCTGGTGCTCGTTCTGATTTCTCTCTCCTTCCCTCCTTCCTCCCCTCCCCAACACCACCCAGAACTACCTCGGCCACAGCATCAACGCCCCCACCGGCCGGTGGCAGAAAAACAAAGACGTGCACTGGTACTCCCGAGACCTCAAAGACTCCGAAGCCGAACGCCTCGAAGAAATCCGCAAAATCAAAGAAGCAGAAGCGGATGCGTTGGCTGTTGCGTTGTATGTTGAGTTTATTATTACTCTCACTCTATTCTCCAACTTTTAACCCGCTCTTCACTAACCCTTCTTCAACAGAGGATTCACACCAGAACCCCGCTCCTCTTCTAAACCCGACACCATCTCCTCTTCCCTTCCCCCATCCATCTCCCCAATAGGTGGAGACACCCCCACCCCACCCACCGACCCCCAACGCGTCATCGAAAAAGAAGAAAAACGCCGAAGAAAGGAAGAAAAACGCGCTAGGAAGGAGGAGAGGCGGGTTTGGAAGCAGAGTAGGAGGGAGAGCAAGGAGGAAGGTGAAGGTCGGCGATGGGATAGGGGAGAGAGAGGTGACAGAGGAGGTGACAGAGGTGACAGAGGTCGGCGTTACGAGGATCACCACCAGCACTACGACGAATACAACCGCCGTCCAAGTCCAAGTCGACTTGAAACCAGGGGGAGAATAGAACGAAACAGAGCAAGAGCCAACGACAGCCGTAGTCGATCCCCATCTCCTAAAACGAGTTCGAGATATTAAACACCTGGTATGTACCCGCAAACAAACTGCACTTGGTCAGTGATACAAACAAAACTCAGTACACAATACAACCTACATACACACACATATCTAAATACCAGATAAAAACAACAAAAAATTATAGAAGATATCAATACTGCATTAAGAGGGAATCGAACCCCCGGCGGGTCGAGATCATATGGCAACGACCCAGGTTACCACTACCCCATTAATGCGTGCTTGACCATGGACACGTGAGAAATACCCCATCATTCGAGAAGAAGGTGACGTCGTGGTTGGTCTACGCACGTCATCATCCATGGGTGGGGATACAAAAATGACGAGGTGGAGGAAGTAGCTACTTACAAACACTACAGTATAGGATCATGGCGCCGTCGTTAGGAACAACACTCGGGAGACTTTTGCCATCGAGGAAGAGGGATTCGGTGAAGGTGAAGAGTGGTGAGAAGGTGGAGAGTGTCGAGGAGAATGAAGAGAACAGCGAAGAAAAGAACAGAGCATCGACAGAAAACACCCTCCGCACCCAACTCCGACGTGCCCAGTCCTCTCAACTCGCTTCCCAAACCGAATCCCCCGCCCAACGCAACGCGTACGGTGTGCTCGACTACACCGAAGCCCCAAACACCCTAGTATCCATCCCCTCACTCGTCTCCCTCCTCGATGAAACCATCCACCTCCGCGCCCGTATCCACACCATCCGCGCAGTGTCCTCCGCACTAGTCTTCATAGTCCTGCGCCAGCAACTCCACACCATCCAAGGCGTTTTAACCGTCTCAGACACCCAGGACGACGTTCCAACAGAACACATGGTGCGGTGGGGGTCGCGACTCGAGGAAGAGAGTATCGTGCACGTGAAAGGCGTGGTACAGCGTCCCAAAGACGGGGAAGTACATTCCACGTCGGTACATACGGTGGAAGTGAGGATTGTGGAATTGCATGTGGTGAGTGGGGTGGCGGAGCCTGTGCCGTTTAGTGTGTATGAGGCGGATTTGAGCGCTGCTGCGAAGGAGGTTGTCGACGACGACGACGAGTTGAAGCCATTTATCCCTGACAGATCTCGTTTGGCGTCTAGGATCATTCACCTCCGCTCTGCCTCTGCACAGTCTATATTCCGTATCCAATCCACTGTCTCCATGACCTTCCGTTCCCACCTATCCAAACTAGAACACCTCGACGGCACCAGCCTCGACTTTGTCCTTTCCTTAGAGAACCTCTTCCCCTCCTCCCCCATCTCCATCCCCGGTGGCTTCCTCGAAATCCACACCCCCAAACTCCAAGGCGGCGCCTCCGAATCCGGCGCCTCCGTCTTCAAACTCAAATACTTCTCCCGCCTCGCCTTCCTCGCCCAGTCCCCTCAGCTCCCCAAACAAATGTCCGTCTCCGCCGACTTTCCCGCCGTCTTCGAAGTCGGGCCCGTGTTCCGCGCGGAGAACAGCAACACCAAACGCCATCTGACGGAATACACGGGTCTGGATGTGGAGATGCAGGTGGGGAGGGAGTATCACGAGGTTATGGCCGTGGTGGATGATGTCCTGAAAGCGATTTTTAGGAGTGTGTATGAACAGAGGAAGGGGGAGGTGGTGAAAGCGGCTGGGGGAGCAGAGGATTTAGTGTGGTTGGATAAGACGCTAGTCATGGCTTTCGCGGACGGTGTCCAGATGCTCATCGACGACGGATACATCGACGACGACACAGGGTACCCACCACGCAAAGACCAAGACCTCACCACCCGCGCCGAAATCCGCCTCGGCCAACTCGTCAAATCCCAATTCCACACCGACTACTACATCCTCGATCTCTTTCCCCATTCCGCCAGACCCTTCTACACCATGCCCGCCGACCCGCACACCCAATCCCACATCACCACCCTCCACCCTACCTGTGGTCCTCTCACCCACTCTTTTGATATCTTTCTCCGCGGACAGGAGATCACCACCGGTGGACAGCGGATCCACTCCTACCCTCTCCTCCTCCACTCCATGTCCCTCCTCGACATCAGCCCCCGCGGACTCGAAGAGTACCTCGACGCTTTCCGGTGGGGTGCACCCCCGCACGGCGGCGCTGGGATCGGGCTGGAGAGACTGGTGATGTTGATTCTGGGAGTGAAAGATATCCGACAGACGAGTATGTTCCCCAGGGACCCAAAGAGTCTGATGGAGCCCCCGAAAGGACTCGAGGGCGTAAGGCACTCGGAGGCAGATACACTGGGAATCTCCCAACCAACACCCATCAAGTGTATTTGTCGTCCGAGGGGTGGGTCACCGACACCGACACCGGTGGGGGGGTTGTCGGATTTGTCGTTGGAGAGTAGCAGTTCCACGACCTCGAACCCTCGGCATCCACCACATCGTATTGGTCCCTCACCGTTACACCAGTCCCTCCTCCCAGGTTCTCAACAACAAACCGTTCCCAAACGCACCCTGCCCACGGTACCCGCGCTAATAGCCAACTACGGGGACGCAGCCAACACCTCCTGGTTAGATGATAGGTATTTGGTGTGGAGGGATGTCAGTACCGGGGCAGCTATTGGGTGAGTACCATTCATTCATTCATTTACTTATATCTAATTCCTACTCAGATTCGTCCCATCCTCCTCCGGATTCGCCATCATCGTCGGCGACCCCCTGTGCGACAAATCCCAATACCCCTCCGTTGTAAGCAGGTTCCTCCAATGGTTAAAACACGGGGAACAACACCGCAGTGACGATGAGGATGAGGATCATCATAACAACAATAGTAGGTATGGGTATGTGGAGAGAAAGAACGACGAGAGGAAGAATACGGTGTCAAAGTCATCTACATCTACGTCTCTGGGTGAGGGGATCAAATCATTCCTCCAACCACCCTCATCTCCCAAAACCACCTCCACCTCATCCCCCTCCCCCCTCCCACCCCTAAAACCAATCTGGCTCCTCGCCTCCGCCCAGCTCGAACACACCCTCGGCACGCGCCTCTCCTGGCTCTCCTTCACCTGCGTCGCCGAGAGCCGCGTCGAGCTCTCCGGCGAAGTCCCCGCCGCGCTCCAGGAGAAAGAAGTCGCGCGCAAGGTGCGCAAGGCGGAGGCGGAGGGCGTGGAGGTGCGGCGGTGGATGGGGCGGGAGGGGTTTGGAGTAGAAAAACGAGGAGGAGAGGAAGAGATAAACGAATACGATATATCCGACGAAATCCACATCGAGGAAGACCTTGATCCCAATACCACCGCCTCGAATTCAAAAAGCATGCCTCTGGGACTCAAACACACCATTGACGCGCGGATCCGGGAGTGGCGAGACGCGCGCGCGGCGAAGGGGGGACAGGTAAGGTTGACGGAGGTGGAGGTGTGGAGGGATTATGTGCATAGGGAGTATTTTGTTGCTTTGGCGCCGAGGAGGATGAGGGGGGAGGGGGAGGGGGACGAGGTGAAGGAAGAAGAGGAACCAGAACTAATCCCAGTAGCCCTCGTCGTCCTACACCAACTCTCTCCAATCCACGGCTTCCAAGTGAAATACGCTTTGGATTTCCCATCCACGGAGAGGTGGAGGACGGGGAGTACGAGTGGTGAGTACTTTTTTTTCATTGCTTTATTCCTCTCCTCTCCTTCCCCTTCCCTCCCTACCTCTCTTTCTTTTCATCCTCCCCGAACCTGACTAATTTCCCCCCTCCCCCCTCCCCCATCTCCCCTCCCAGGCGCAATCGAATCAGCACTCAGCGCAGCAATGCACGCAGTCGCCTCCACCGGGAGCGGCCGCCTCACATTCGGAACGAGCGCAACGAGTCGGTTGACGCCCGTGCGTGGGGTTAAAGGGGTCAGGGTTAAGGTTCGTTTTGTTCCTTCACCCTTGCTCCTCCTCTTATCCTCTCCCTCTTCCCTCCCTCTCCACTTCTCTCTCCCTTCCCTCTCCTCCCCCCTCCCCCTTCCTCCTCTTATAGATTCTCTCCCACGCCTACGAAGCCATCTCCGAACGCATGTCCCTCCGCGGCAAGGGCGACTTCCGCAAGAAAATGGGCGCGGAGGAGGAGGATGTGTATATCTGCTACCCCCGCGGTGGGTTGGGTGGACGAGGGGCGAAGGCGGTGTTGGATTTTTGTGTTGCTGAGAGTTAGTAACCGTTAGATGGGTGGGGTGGGGTAGGGGAAGTTGGAAGTTGGTTGGTTGGTTGGTTTCGGAACGAGTATTGTTTCTTGTTTCTTGTTTCGTGTCCACCGCCACAGTTGTTCCTTGTCTCTTGTTGCTTCTTGCTTCAGTATATACTCTTATATACTCCCGAATAATAATACTCCCTCCTACGTCTCTCTCTGTTTTCTTGCTCCAGTACACAATTCCTCCTCACTACTTACATTCTTGCTTGCTCGTAGAGCTACGTATATCTCCATACATATATAACCAGGCTATTCAAATATTCTTCTAAATCTCTTATGAAGTGACCTTACTTTGTTTCATGGACCCTTTCTCGTGTTTAATGGTATAACCACAACCACTTTAGAACATTGAAGATTTTGTGCCCCGCATTGGAGGATTATGGAGCGAGTTCCTGCCAGTCACTGCGCATTTCTTACAAAGTGGAGTAGAGTTGACGAGATCATGATTACGAATAGTTGTTGTAGTGGTGAAAACATTGCGATTAGACTCGAAGTGCTCTCTGAGAGCTGAATTGTTCTCGAGGCGGTCCCATAGGACCTCTCGGTTGGAACAGTTTGCTTTGTAGGTGATCCCGGAGGGCGAGAGTTGGAACGTGAATGGTGATTACATCAGCAAATTTCCTGCTGAGGACACAATCGGGCAGTCGAGGCAACGTCCAAAGTTATAGCCCGAGAATTTCTCTGAAAATGGAACCGGACGCGCCGCGCCATATCTCAGGCCGTACCCAGCTTTGAGGTGGGTAGTTCATTTTCGGAGCAAGTCTCGGGGCTACAGCTTTCACAATGCCAATCAACAATAGAGCCTTAGGCGTGATGAGGTGTAGATGTAACGTATGAGGTTGTTGGTACGTGAAGGTAACATTAGAACGTGCAACGAGGGTCGGTGTAGGAGGTGAATTTAAACTGGGAATGCAGCTCGAGATCTCTGCTTTTGTTGGTACTATGATCTGAGTTGAATTTCTTTGGAATTTCGAACCAGAAGAGCGCAATCTGATTAAAACAGCGGGAAACGTCCAATTACCCTGTATACAGGAGCAAGCGCAACAAATTTAGTCACGGGTGACGTTGAAGGTACATAGTAAGAAGATACGCACGA